CCAAAGTTCTCAACATTGGGCTTTAGAGAAATGTTGAACACATGCTGAGTACCCTGAAGCCTATTTCTATAGCCTTGAACAAAATGCAGGGAAATAGCTGTTTTATTGCTGATGCTGTTGAAATTTGGAAGGAACCGACTGAGATCTTAAAACAAGAAATATGCAATGACAGAGTTAAATTACAAGCATTAAAAAAACAAATGGGACAAGCACTATCTCCAGCTCATTTTCTTGCAAATATTCTCAATACATGGTACCAGGGTCAAACCTTAACTGCTGAAGAAGAGGAGTTGGCTATGACATGGACATCCAGCAATCATCCCTCCATAATGCAAACTATAATAAACTTCAGAGCTAAGGGTGAACCATTCAAGAAATATATGTTTGCTGATGATGTTTTAAAGAAAGTCACACCAGTGAACTGGTGGAAGTCACTTAAGCACTTGGATTCAGAGACTGTTGAAGTGATAATCTCACTTTTAACAGCAGTAGCTTCTTCTGCTGGTGTAGAAAGAATATTTTCATCTTTCAGACTAATTCATTCCAAATTGAGAAATTGTTTGGGACCTGAAAAAGTAGGAAAGCTTGTTTTTCTTTTCCAGACTATGAACAAACAGGAAAATGAAGGTGAAGACAACTTTAGCTGCAGAAGCCAATATTTTAAGTTTCTCATGTTGACCTGGCTGACATAGTCTATTTAATTTTTGTTGGGGTTTTTTTTAAATATTTCATTTAACTATTTTAGTTAAAAACAATTTTAACAAAAACAAACCTGATTTTAAAAAATTTGAATGTTTAACTAAATTAAAAAATGCATAAGCTTGTTTTGTTAAAATATTATGTTTGCTGTTGAAGAAAAAAAATCCAGACTACATAAAGTTGTTGTTTTAATTAAATAAAACAATTTAAATGTCTGTCTGGTGATGTTCTCCTTCTAATACAGCAAGGCAAGAAAATCCTCCAAATATTAATGATTAACCTGTGGAATTGGAGATATTTATGAAGTCATTGGGAGGTGAACTATCTGTTTCAGTTACTTTTGGTAAATGAAATAACCATTCATTTTCAGATATAGCTGTAAAACTAATCTGAAAAGTTTTCAAAATAAATCACTTTTCAAATATATAGTGTGTACCTTCTAAAAATAAAACCTATATCTATCTCCGAGTTGTGAGGAATATGTATTAAGGTTATAACAACCTACAAGAATGCACTTTTATGTAGAAATCCATGATTAAATCGAGTCTTCCTGACTAATGATTTAAATAAAATCGACCCTGCTATGTATATCGTTATTGTGTATGAAGTTATGAGATTTTGCTATATTGTTATTGAAATATGTTGTGAGTTTGGGAGATGCCCACTGCTAGCTTGCCAATGACAACTAAGGAGGTGAGCCATACCCAAACAGGCATTAAGCAACCATCATGAGCTACTGACCAGTAACAAGAATGCTGGAAAGAAAGTCTTTGAACTAAGAAAACTGGTCCCAGGCTGAGAAGGAAATTCAGCCTGTGTATTAAGAACTGTAATATGACAACAACATCCAATGGGGTGAGAAAAGCTGTTTGATTCAAATCTTGCTTAGTCTGATAAAGTTTAGAATTTAGACTGCAATTTTGCTTTTATTTCTTTCGGAACCATCTTTGTCCTATATGCCTACCACTTATAAACACTTAAAATCTATCTTTCTGTAGTTGATAAACTTATTTTAATGTTTTACCCTTACCAGTGAGTTTGTCTAAAGTGGTTGAGATTACATTAGCTGGTACATATCCATTATCCTTTGATTAAGTGATGAATTAATTACTGAGAAGATCCTGAGCCATGTAAGATGGTACATTTCTGGGGTGCAGGACGGTAGGGCATTTGCTGGTGTTTCCCTCTGTATAGCTCATGAGTGGCTTGCACAGCATTCATTTAACTTATCTGGGTGTATCTTGCATGCTAGTGGCTAAGTGTTAACAGCACCTGGAGAGATTTGCTACTGTCACAAGTCAAGTATTATGAGAGACAGCCCAGTCTGGAGAGTTAAGGGGGCATAGCAGTCCCAATCCAAGATTGTACCCCGAGGACCAGTCACACTAGGAGACAATGCAAACACAGGAGATGGGGAGTGGTCCCCCATTTTTCTGCTACTGCAAGGCCACACTATGAGGAATATGGATTGCCATCCCCACCCCGCTTTGATCAAGGGAAGTAGCGGTGATATTTTCTTAAACGCCATCAAAGAGGCACCAATATAAGCTGTCACTCACTGCAGATTGTGCAGAACTTCCTATGACACATTGCCACCAGCAGCAGCAACGTTTAAACTGTCATCGGGCATCCGAAATAGCCACGCTGAGTGAGGCTGGTCGCCCCCTCAAAGCTATCAGCCCCCCCCGCAGACATCACTGACTAGAGGCGTTTTCAAGTGAGAAGGGAGCGCGAGACAGCGCCCCCTCCCCCCCGGGGCTCATCGTCTCTTCCCGCCTTAGCTACAGGGTCCGCGGGGGTCCCGGGGCAGCCGCCTCCGTTGCCTAATCGCTGCCGCGCTCCCGACTCCGAGCTCCGCGCGCGGCAGGAGGCGAGCCCGCCCCGCCGGCCCCGCGCCGCTCCCCGCGGCCCCTCGGGGGCGCGAGCACGGAGACGGGACCGGCCGGGGCGGCTTCCCCTGTTCGGAGCGCGGGCGGGACGGGGAGCAGTCCCCATCCCGCCCAGGCGCTGTCCTCAGCCGGCCCCAAGCGCCGTGTCTGCCGCCGCCGCGCCCCTGCCCCCCACTCACCCCGCGCCCCTGCTCCGGCTCCGGCTCTTCGGGCCGCCGCCACCGCCGTGAGAGAACGCCAGGGCGCATGCGCCTCGGCCCCTGTGTGCTGCGTGAGGGGGTCGGGTCTGGGGATGTGGGATGGAAACTCCGGACCGGAGTCCCCCGCGGGGGGAACCGGATCCTCTCCCCGCGCTGCGCCGGTTGCGGGGCTGGGCGGGTGCCCGCCTCGCCGCCCGCCCACTTCCCGGTTTACCAATATCGGCTGGCCAAGCGGCGTGGCCGGTGCGCGGCGCCCGGCCCCGGGGAGCCGTGCGGCTGTTTGCGGTGACCGAGAGTCAAGGGCATTTCCTGGGGCCGCTGACAGCGGCCCCCGCCCGCAACACCTCGCTGGGGGCAGCGGTGCCCGTGTAGCCCCACAAAATGCTCTGCTCCCGTTTTGCTATTTTGGGTGTACTGAGCATG